GCAGGCAGAGAGACAGGGAGACAGGCAGACAGGCAGGCAGGCAGGCAGGCAGGCAGGCAGGCAGACAGGCAGGTAGGCAGGCAGACAGGCAGGCAGGCAGGCAGGCAGGCAGGCAGGCGTTTGAGTCGTCTCACCTTGCGTCCTTGTCGTTCCACGCAATCCTCATGCCCTTGCCTCCGCCGCCGGCCGACGCCTTGATCATGACGGGGTAGCCAACTTCGTTGGAGATCTTCACACAGTCTTCCTCGTCCTTAACAACGCCGTCGTAGCCGGGGATCGTGCTCACCTTCGCCGCGAGGGCGATCTTCTTGCTTTCGATCTTGTCTCCCATCGAGCTAATTGCCTTGCTATTTGGCCCGATAAATGTCACACCCATCTCCGTCTGCAAATTACAATGTTCAAACGTATTAAATTGGAGTAAAAAAGGTGTTTTTTAAATATATTTCTTATCAAACATTCATTTTTTTTCACTCATTCTCAGTCTTCAAACTAAATGTTCGCTGTGATTTGTTGTTTTTTTATAAGAAATTTAGATTTGATTTAAACTTACCAGTTCCCTTGCAAATTCTGTGTTTTCTGACAGAAACCCATAACCTGGATGAACCTGAAATAATTATACGATAAATGATTACTAATATTATATAACATAAAGTTATATAGCACAATCCTCATACTATCATACATTCATTCTGGGTAATGTTCGTGGGAAGTAAAATCCATACAACTCTCAATTACTTCTCGCAAGATATATAAACACAGCTGTTACTTCACAGATGCTATAATAGTCATTACTAATTCTACATTCACACTCTTAGCAATGAATTGTAAATCCACAACCATAAGTCTCACCAATCATTACTTCAGAAATGCCTTCACAATTGGGTCTACTCTTCCAACCAATATATTTCCCGCACTCTTTTGCAACGTTAATTGGCTAGTTACGACTACACAATTTTTGCTGAGACGCCCCATGAGGGCTAGCGTGCTTACGGCCTGCGCATCTGTTGACTTGACAGCCTCAAGAATGGCGTCCATGTTCAGGTAGCTTTTATTCGTTGGTGGAGGCCCAACGCAAACAGACTCATCTGCCATCTTTGTGTGCAGCTATAAAACAGGAATGTGAAAACTACATATCCATGCCCAAACACATATAATCCTGAGCCTATAGAAATTTTACCCTGAATAAATGAATATTGTGCAGATAAAATAAATAACAACACTTGTGTCACCAGCTGATCTAGTAATTTAACATTCATGACGCTGTTTTTATAATTAGCAACAGTAATTTAGTTATTTACGAACTGTATAGTTGAACTATAACTATGTCACCGTAAAACACAACATGAATTCCATACATTTAGACTATAAGCAGGTTAGTTTACAATATAATGTGAATTCTACATTTCAGAAAAAAAACTGGTTATATAAAATATGGTCCATTGAATCTCCGCACGACTATCACGGTTAACAATTGGTTTCACCTATCACGCACAAAACTTTCAGTTCTTGATACCAAGACAAGAAACATGATTTTTGAAACATCTGGGCAATCCAACAATAAACGTGGTATAATAAAACTATATATGAATACTACTACCACAAAATGCAGATTAACATACTGATAGTCCATCTGCTTCACTGTACACAGCCACTGTCTTGATTCCCATCTGCTTGGCTGTCTTTATAACTCTGCAGGCAATCTCACCTCGATTCGCTATCAGGATCTTGTCAAATTTCTGAAAACGAATCAAACATTTAACAACATGCGCACTGCACTGATGGCTCTTACAAATACATGGGAAATACCAAAGCTACTTCTCATATAAATAGCTGGCAATAATCATGGGAGATTTCAGTGTCTAACATATTATTATTAAAGAAAAAGACTAAAAACAAATAAGGAAAAATACACAAGTTTCACATTGTGTCTAATTTGAGACATAATATGATTAATAACTTGAGTCTGGTACAACATTACAGGAAAGTGTGTGTGCATGCCTAAACATGGGTTGATCAGGCCACCCTTAAAAAATAGTTTGTTTCCCCTTTACCTATACTCGACTCTCAGGGTACCGAGTAGGTAGGTAGGTAAAAAATCTTTTTTATCTTGTTTTGACAAGATGTGTGTATGTATATTTTATATTCTGTTTTGTGTATATTATGTTTTTGCGGAACAAATTTGATTTTTTTTTAGCGAAACAAATTAATTTTTGTTTTGTTTTAATCGGCTAATAAAATGTGTCATGTAGCGGCATTTTGGCGAGTCGGTCGCTAAAGGAGAAACGAGCAATATTTTATCTTAGGCCTCATCTGTACTCACCGTACCTGTATGTCATTATGTCCATATGCTGATTTTCCAGAGTTATTACTTTATCTAGTAAAACTGTGGGCCCTATATAATCCTATAAGTCTACTGTCTGCGGCTTCCAGGAAGAAACACCACATGTAACTAGAAAGGGCAGTTGTCGCCAACTACATCTATCCCCCGTGTTCTCCCCAAGATGTGTAAGTATATGGAAGTTTGGATCACGCTAGGTCAATGTGGGGCCGAGTTAGAGAGCCAGAAGGAAAATATGACAAGGCTCAAGGGTAAAGGCTCGAATAAAGGTCACAGTGACTGGTTTTGGTACGCCTGCTCTCACCTTCTCGCCCCAAGATGTGTAAGTATAGCATAGTTTGGTAGCACTAAGTCAATTAGCCGGCCCGCAGTTATAGCAGCGAAGAAAATGATCAAGGTCAAGGGAAAGCGCAAATAAAAGTCGCAAGCTGACCTGGTTTTGGTACGCGACACACCTTCTCCCAGAGAATGTGTAAGTATACCAAGTTTGTAGCGCTAGGTCAATTAGGGCTTCGATTATAGAGCGGAATAGGAATAGATCAAGGTCAAGGTAAAAGGTCAAATAAAGTCGCAGTGACCTGCGTTTGCCGTACGCGACACACCTTCTCCCAAGATGTGAAGTATACAAGTATTGCTAGCGCTAGAGTCAATTAGGGGCCGATGTTTATAGACCAGAAGCGAACATATTGATCAAGCGTTCAAGTGCAAGGGTCAAACCAAAAGGTCGTATGGCATCTGGTTTTGTCGTAGCGCAGGTCAATTAGGGCCGGAGTCTAGAGAGCCAGAGGAAATGATGATCAAGGTCAGGCTAAACGTCGAATAAGGTCGCACCAGTGGACCTGGTTTTGGTACTCGCTGCTCACTCTCCCAAGATGTGTAAGTATACAGAGTTTGCCGCTATGCGTAGGTCAATTAGAGGGCGAGTTAGAGAGCGGAAGGAATATGATCAAGGTCAAAGTAAAGTCAAAGTAAGGTCGCAGTGACCCTGGTTGTGGCGTATGCTGCTCACCTTCTCCCCAAGATGTGTAAGTATACCAAGTTTGGTAGCGCTAGGTCAATTAGGGGTCGAGTTATAGAGCAGAAGGGAAATTGTCTGCGGCGGAATAATTACTCTAGTATGAGGTACATCTGTACAGGGAAATTACAGAAAATAGAGGGCCATTGACTTACGTACATTAGACTATCAAAGCACACCAACCTACGATCACGCTTAGCATATTTGCTCAACCGTGGCTTTAATATTTCACATTAATTAATATTAATTATAAGTAATATTAATAATATGCACATTTCTCTTTCGAAGCCGGCACATGGCGATTGTCACTGAACAACATACCTTTTCTCCATCATTGATTGGATCCAGAGTATAAAACTTTGGATCATAATCCACGGCACTAATGCCATACCAAGCTGTCGGTATGATCCTCGTAGCTGTAGGCTGAAACACAGAACGCACATAGACATGTAATAGACCTATATATCATCATTGATATTATCACAGCACATGAATGAGTACTTGTTTCAGTACTGTCTAGAAGATTGCTTCTAAGTCTATTTATAATCCTACTGTGACAATCCACAGGGCCATGATATATTGTTTAGTTTATCTATTGTTAGTTATACTAGTGAAATTTTCACTTGAAGGGATACTACACCCTAGAATTTTAGGGCATATTATGATAGTAAGTGCATAAATAATAGTATATACCTACAAATTTCTATAATCATGTATTCACATTTGTCATAAAACAACAGTGAGTTTCAAAATCTTTATTTTCGCAGCAGAGCGGCAAAAGTAAACGCTGTTTGAAACATTCGACCCGACACTTTCACTTTGTAGTCTAAAAGCTTTTAATGAACGTATTCCTGAGCTTTTTCTATCACACATATATAGGCAAGTACAAATGTGCAATGTTAAAATAATTCAGTTTTGCCTGATTTTACGTTTGCCTTGAAATTTCGAGGGAAGGCACCTTTAATGTTCTGTGATGTTGAATCACAAGTACATATTTAACAAAAAGAACATGTCGTAGTTTGGGAAAAATGTTGTCCAAGACATTGCCCATATGATTTGGCCAAGACATGTGTTAGTTTTAATTGAGACATTTACACTTAAAATGTCTAACCTAAACTGAACACTCACACGCATACGCAGGGGTAGAAATTAACTTTTGAACAAGGGAGTCCAACCCTACGTTCAACCCGACCCTCAAAAAGAGGGAGTCCGCAGCAAAATGAGGAAGCCTGCACTCTGAGGTTCAAAATTAAAGATATTAACAATAACGCATGTGCTTATTTTTAAGATTCATGCAGTTGCTGCCAAATTTTCTTCGGACATTAGCTGAACAAATACAGTAATTCTGCGAGGCCGTGCTCCGGAACGAACTAGTTAGTATGGCAGAATTTTCAGGGAGTCACACAGACTCCTGCATATGTCAAATCAGGGAGTCCGAAAGTAAATCAGGGCGTATTTGACTCCGGACTCCCGTTAATTTCGCACCCTGCATACGTATACGCACACGCACACGCACCCGCACACACGATCAGTACACATGTATACAAATTGTGCAAGCGTCACAAACGTCAGTTACTTTTTCTGATGTCTAATTTTGAATTGCATTTACCAGTCGAGTTTCACGCTATTTCTAAGCACTACCAAACGAAGTAGCAGATCTATGCTGTAGATCAGCTGTCTTTGCTATGAGAGAACTTCGCCCCAATATAGACCGGGCTGACCCTGACTGGTTGGCAACATGGCATGCAGCCGTGAAGAAGCGGTGTATTGACTTCAACTGTGTTGCTATATTTGTCACCATGTATCAAGTGTGAGCTGTTAGCCTCTTGCACAAAAATGTCAGCACCATATAATTATTTGCTCATGACTTGCACAGAAACCTTGTCCCATACATACTTACATGAGCACAAGACATGTAGTAGGGTAATATCAGGAGTAGATGAAGAGTCTTCATCTACTCCTGGTAATATAATAATAATATTATTTATTGATTTATATTGCGCACGTTACATGCAGATATGTTCACGTGCGCATTACAAAAGCTGATTATAAAACAGCGGACTGCGTCACTGTAAAACAGATACTTAAATTACGACAATCCTGTAACAATTCCTGATTATAAATAGCGGACTGCAACATTGTAAAATATAGATCCTAAAAACGACAATAATACACCATTTTCGATAAAATAGAACTCAAATCAAATGTACACCTAAAATATAATGTCTATGTGTAAAATGCAATGTTAAATAGATGAGTTTTGACTAGGCGTTTAAAAGATTCCAGCGACTTTTCACATCGAATATGACAAGGTAGCTTATTCCATAATTTTGGGGCAGCTGATGAGAAAGCTCGATCGCCAAGTGTAGCCAACGTTTTTACAGCTGGAGGCTCAATTAACATGTGGTTACCAGAGTGCAGACTGTACCGATTAGGTCTCTTTAATGTGACTAATTCTCTGATATACTCTGGTGACAATTGACATACAATGTAATGCCTTAAAATTGATGAGTAGTATTTTAAACTCTATACGGAAATAGACTGGCAGCCAATGCAAATGATATAAAACAGGTGATATATGATCAAACTTGGATACATTGCATATAAGCCGAGCAGCTGCATTTTGGACTCGCTGTAACTTATTCAGTTGTACCTGGGGCAGCCCATAAAGTAAACTATTGCAGCAATCAACACGACTAGTAATGAACGCGTGAATTAGAATTTTTGTTGATTCCGTAGAAAGAAACTTTCGGATTCCTCTAATATTATGAAGATGGAAAAATGAAGTACTGCAGAGTTTAGAAACATGAGTCTCCATCGTTAGCCGCGAATCAAACCAGCAACCCAAGTTTCTGGTCACGGATACTGGCGAAATTTTAACAACTCCCGACAGTATATGACAATGCTCCACTTTGCAAGTTGCTGCGCGGTACCTATGATGAGGATTCCGTCTTGTCGTCGTTCAACATTAGCGATCACGCAAGCATCCAGATCACGGATATGCTTTATACAGGTTTCACCCAGAGACAGCCTTTCTGCGGCATGCCCAGCAGAATTCGATGAAGGATAGGTACAGTTGCGAGTCATCACCAAGCATAGGATTCGGGAGATAGCTCAAATATTCGAAAAATTTCGACGCATATATGTTGAGAGAAGGGCCCCAGGCATAGCCTGTGGAACACCCCACTTGCAGCGAAGCGTCTGATAAATGCCCATATTGACACCGCGCTAGTAGATCTGTGTGAAAATAGGATGAAAACCAGTCAAGCTGCTTTGCCCGTAATGCAATCCTAACGAAGCTCTCTGAGTAAAATATCATGATCGACAGTACGAGGCAGCACTGAGAGTCCAAAGCACAAGTTTTAGTAACTTGTGGTTGTTCATGTTCATTAATTATGTCGTTCTTAACTGTTAATAACAGGGCCGTTTCAGTGCTTGTTTGTTCCACGCTATTAGCCATGATCGGCGAACAGTCCATCACGGTCATGTGATTGGTAATTTGATCAAATACTATTTTCTCCGTCAGTTATAGGACACCATAGGGTAGATGCTGATTGGGCTGCGTAATTTTAAACAAACAAGGCGTCAGCCCACGTTTGTTTCAAAAGGGTATACGGAGTGCTTCTTCCGTCCTCAGAAAATGTAGCTGTATCAAAGAACAGTTTGACCATATTAGTTAAGCAGGTAATAGGCTCGGTCAATGCAATTGATAATAATGGGAGTTGGCATTGGATCCAACGCCGCAAGGGTCTTTTTTGATGAATTGTCTTATAAATTGTTAACTTGTTTCGGCGCAGTTAGCTGAAACTCCCGAATACACCCAAACTGCGACAGGTGCGTACGTTTCGGTTAGTTCCACATGCTGTATGCTTGGCTGCTGCCGAGCGTTGTCTGGTATGTCAATAAATCTTTTGACAAAGAAAGTGCCGCATATCTAGTATGCATGTAAGGGTAATGACAGATCATACTTCAGAATAATAAACGCACAAAATCATATTATTTATAATATGGCGTATAGTAATTAAAAAAAAAAAAAAAAAAAAAAAAAAAAAAAAAAAAAAAAAAAAAAAAAAAAAAAAAAAAAAAAAAAAAAAAAAAAAAAAAAAAAAAAATTTTTAAAAAAAAAAAAATTTTTTTTTTTTTTTTTTTAAAAAAAATAAAAAAAAAAATTTAAAAAATAAAAAAAAAAAAAAAAAAAAAAAAAAAAAAAAAAATAAAAAAAAAAAAAAAAAACAGAATAAAAAAAAAAAAAAAAAAAAAAAAAAATTACTCAGGGATTCTCCAAGAGCACTTATGCCCGCCAGTGCTATCGTCGAGCCCCCCATCCTAAAAGCACCCGCCAACTCTAGCCCGACCAGGCTTGTGTCTTCTTCGACAGATTGTCTATACAAGGGGCCTAGGTATCTAACGCCTAGCAATACCGTTTCTTGAGCTACCATGCTGTATGCTGGTGTATACACAATGAGTAAGTTCAAAGCGAATGTTTCACGTGACGTCAATAGACCATGGTACGTGTATATGTTGATGGTTGCTGGGTTGCCAGAAGGCAAAGCGTGCCTGCTTGAATTACAGGAGTGAAATAACCACAATGTTCTGATAGAAAGCAAAAAAAAAAAAAACACCGCTGTTTATGTAGTGGCACGTAAACACGTGGTGCTTGCGTGTTCTGGCGTGCGGTGCGGTACGTACACATGCCGTTGCATGGTCGCTTGCGTGTGTGCGTCTGCCGTGCGTGCGGTGTGCACGTTACACGTTTCGTACGTATTGGTGCACGTACACGTGCGTGCGTGGTGCTTGCACGTACACGTGCGGTGTGCTGCGTGTTGTGTGTTTTCTTTATATTTCGTTTTTTATTTCTGCTCGTGCGTGTGCAGGCTACAGCGGGTGTGTGCATGAGTGCGTTGTGCGTACGTGGTGTGTGTACAGGTACACGTTTCGTGCGGCGTGCATGCATGTGCACGTAGCACTGCGTGCGTGCGCGTGGGCCGTGGTGCACGTACACTCGCGTGCATGCAAATGCCGTGCGCTGCGTGTGTATGTAAACGTGGCTGCGATTGCGTGCGTACACGGCGTGCCTGTGTGCGTGTGCACGTAACACCGTGCTTGTGCGGTGTGCATAGTACACGTGCGTGCGTGCCGTGTGTCTGAGTGCGTGCGGTGTATTCACGTACACGTGCCGTGCTGTGCGTGCAGGCTACACTGAGTTGCGTGCGTGTTGCACGTACAGCGTGCACTGCTACACGTGCGTGCTGTTGCGTGCGCTGTGCACGTGTACACCTGCGTGCGTGCGCACGTAACAACCTGGCGTGCATGCGTGCTAATGCCGGGCGTGCGTTGGATGTACACCGTGCCGCGCGTACTAAATAAAAACCATATGCCCACGTACACATGCTGCATGAATTCCGTGCTCCGCGCTTCCCGTG